TCTTTTTGTTGTATTGTTTTAGGTTTTATTACATTAATTCTACGACAATATTTGAGGCTAACAACTATTGTTTATGTGATTCATATGTAAGTTACACTCTATTCTTTCATTAATGTTATTTTCATTACAAGTATTTATTATATCTAGTTTTAATATTTATATTATTTTAGTAGGTAGATTATTTTGAATTATTAGGTAAGCTGGCCAAATCTCGTGAGGTGTTATCTTGTTGGTTAATTTTTAGTTTTGAACTTAGTAAGCAGCTTTCTTTGATCAGAAGTTAGTACTAATTATGTACTACATTATTAAAATGGTCAGTACATTCAAATGTATATTATATTAACAGCGAGGGTATCCAACTGATGAAATAATGCATTATAATCTTTATAAGTGAGAACGTAAGAAAAGTGTATTTAATTAGCTTTGCTCATTATCGGGTTGATTTTAGTGTTGATCTATGTAGGTGGTTTGTTGTGATCAGAAGCTAATATTAATCCACATGGCTCGTTACACTGGATATAGCAGATGGTTAACATATTATAACATATTCTCCTTTACTTTCACTCATGATTTCTTAGAATTATTTAGGTTAGGTGATTAGTTAATTAAATATTTTGAAAAATTATCATGATGGAAAATCTTTCACAACAACTACACTGTGCATATATCAAAGATAATAAAAATTAGTTAAGTGAATAGAGAAACAATATGTACGCACATAATATGAACATTAAACAACAGAAAGTCATGTCATAAAGAAAACAGAACGTTTTCAAATCTATCATTACTCAGACTACAGCAAAACAAAGGCTGATAATCAATGACAGTTGATTCAACTATTTAACAACAAGACCTGATAATTAAACAGTCTATCTCTCATCACGGGTGCAGAGGAAAAGAGATTCGATCAAACACTGAACAACTTGTAACATAATAAATTATTATAATCTTGGATTTTGACAAGAAACCAAACTTTAATATTTTGGTAATAACGTTAGAAGATAGAAAAACTACTTTTTTACTCCAGATAATTATAAGAAAACTTTTATTTTAACCGACGTTTCACATTTGTGACTTCTTCAGGGCTAATACATAAAACTGTTTGATTTTATAGTATTGATTAAATTATAAAACTGCTTGTGATCTAGCTATACTAACACGTGACATATTTATATAAAATATAGGAATAAAGAGAATCATAAAATTTTTGTGATCACTTTCATTAATTGGCAAAGGAGAAACGTTCTCTTATAATTATCTGGAGTGGAAAGGTCGTTTGTTGTTTTCTGAAGTCCCTCCAGTATGCACTACAAATTTGGAAAGCCAAGCGTTAATAATTATTACAGATACAAGAGATAACAGGTACGAACGAAACTGCAGCATACAGACTCATAGTAACAGTTACCATAGCAAAAAATCAATGGATAATACTTTTCATATAAAGATAGACATTGAAAGGAAATTGGAATATTATAACAATTGTCGCAGTTACCTTGAAAGTAAAACCTGCCAAAGATACTCATGATTGAGAAGGATTCCAGGAAACTAACATGCATAAGTTATATATATATACTAACAAATCAAAGAACGTTTTGGATTTTGTAGTTATTTAACTGGTGTCTTTAACAAAAAAA